AGCAGTGAGCCAGACCGCCCCACTGCACTCCAGCCTGGACAACGGAGTAAGACCCTGACTCAAAAAAAAAAAAAAAAAAAAAAAAAAAAAAAAAAAAAAAAGAAAGAAAAATTAGTTGGGCATGGTGGTGTACACCTGTAATCCCAGCTACTAGACTCTGACTCAAAAAAAAAAAAAAAAAAAAAAAAAAAGAAAGAAAAATTAGTATCACCTAAAGATCGCATAGCTATCATAACATTGTAGTGCCATGCGTTACCTTTGAGGTACACAAATACTTACCATTGTGTACAGTTGCCTGCAGTATTCAGTACAGTACCATGCTGTAGCTGTACGGGTAGCTTAGGAGCACAATAAGCTACACAGTGTAGCCTAGGTGTGTAGAAGGCTCTACCATGTAGGTTTGCATCACTACACTCTGTGATATTTGAATAATGAAATTGCCTAGCAACGCATTTCTTTGAATATATCCACACGTTAAGCAATGCATGACTGTACCTAAGACAAAGATCTAGGAGTTAACCCCTTCATGTTTTCTCTTCTCACCACCACCTCAAGGCATTGCCTAGAAGACTGCTCCCGCCCCCAAATGAGCCCTCTGCCTTCATTCTCCAAATAGCAACAAGAGCGATCTTTTAATTTTATCTATCTATCTATCTATCTATCTATCTATCTATCTATCTATCTATCTATCTGTCTATCTCTGTCTAGAGTCTCGACCAGGCTGGAGAGCAGTGGCGCAATCTTGGCTCACTGCAACCTCCCCACTCAGACGCGCACCATCACCCCTGACTAATTTTTTTTTCTTTTTTTCTTTATTTTTTTTTTTTCATTGAGACAGAGTCTGGGTTTGTCGCCCAGGCTGGAGTGCAGTGGCGCGATTAAGGCTCACTGCAACCTCCGCCTCCCAGGTTCAAGCGATTCTCCTGCCTCAGCCTCCGGAGTAGCTGGGATTACAGGCACACGCCATCACTCCCGTTTAATTTTTGTATTTTTAGTAGAGACGGGGTTTTGCCATGTTGGCCAGGCTGGTCTCGAACTCCTGGGCTCAAGCGATCCTCCCGCCTCAGCCTCCCAAAGTGCTGGGATTACAGGCGTGAGCCACAGCGTCCGGTCCAAAGTGATTTATTATTATTATCATTATTTTGAGACGCAGTCTTGCTCTGTTACCCAGGCTGGAGTGCAGTGGTGCGATCTCGGCTTATTGCAAACTCCGCCTCCCAGGTTCAAGCGATTCTCCTGCCTCAGTCTCCTGAGTAGCTGGGATTACAGGCGTGTGCCGCCACGCCCGGCTAATTTTTGTATTTTTAGTGGACACAGGGTTTCGCCATGATGGCAGCCTGGTCTCGAACTCCTGAAATCAGGTGATCCACCTGCCTCGGTGTACCAAAGTGCGCGGATTACAGGCATGAGCCACCGCGCCCGGTCCCAAAGTGATCTTTTAAAACATAAGTCAGAGAATATAACTTTCCTAATGAAAATCCTCCACTAGCTTCCAATTGCCCCTAGACTATCAAATCCAAACCCCTTCAACACTCTCCAAGATCCTATGAGATGGGCTACGCCTGACTCTCCAATCTGATCTCTGCCACTCTGCAAATTCTCCATCCCGGGTTCGCTGGACCTCTTTCTCCAGCTCCCACCAGCAAATAGCTCTCCTGCCTCAGAGCCCGTACTTGCAGTTCCCTTTGCCTGGACTCAAGGCTGCTGACTACGCTGGCATCAAATATCAACTCTTCACAGAGGCTGTCTCTGACCACCCAGAGTAAAGTAGCCCTTCACTTTCAAGTCATCGCCATGACCCTTTTGTTTTGTTTTGTTTTTGTTTTCTTGTTGTTGTTTTCTTTCCACAGCCTCATAACCATCTGAAGCTATCTTACGTTATTTTTTGCTTTCGCAGTTATTGTCTGTCTTTCCCATTGTAACCTAAGCTTCAGGAAGGCCCAGACCCAATGTACTCCTTCCAGTACTCAGCACACGGGAGGCACCCAATAAATATGGGCTGACCGAATAAATCCAGCAGCTGCGCACACAGGCATATAGATAGATGCACGTGTTTTTGTTGTTGTTGTTGTTGTTGTTTTTGTTTTTTGTTTTTTTAAACAGTTTCCTTCTGGAGGCCACGATTACTACCTAGAGCTAAGAAGAGAGCATTGGCAGTCACAGATACAATCCGAGGACAAGACAGAGATCCAGACCCTGGAGCAAATAAAACAGGCTGAAGGAAACGGGAGAGAGAGCTCCAGGGTGAGTTCCAGAGAGAGAGACCCAGATAGACTAAGACCGAGACAAAGATTCACTCAGCGAACCTAAGCCCCGAGCCCACAGGTCCCGGCAGCTACCGCGGACAGAGACAGGAGGAGGAGGCGAGCGGAGGGAGGCGTAGCGCGCCGGAAGGGAGCGGACCGTGGGGAGCCTCGCCGCCCCGCCCCGCCGCTCCGCCCCGCCCTGCTCACAAGTGGTCGCCGCAGGTGGCGTTGCGCCTGCCCGCCCGCCCTCGGGCCCGACGCGTGCGGGATCAAAGCGGCCGGGAAGGGGCGGGGAGGAGAGGTGGCAGGAACCCGGAGGTGTTAGCGAGCTTCCCAGGGGATGGCAGGAGCGTGGGAGCGCAGAGTCCCGGGAGGCGGCAGAGACTCGGAGAGACGATGAGATACCAGAGACTCGAAAGAGCCAGAGGCGGAGATGCAGACGCCAAGAGACCGGAGAGACGCGGAATCAGAGATGCGGAGGAACGAGACCACCGACACCCAGAGAGACCCAGGGTAGAAGTCGCTGAAGATCTGGAAAGAACGTTAGAGATACAGAGATGGAGAAGCTAAGGGGCACTCAGAGACCCAGAAAGGAGGCTAGACAAAAAAGGCACAGACCCATAGACTTAAGAAAAGGAAGCGTGCTTCAGAGAGAACGGAAAATAACAGAGGAAGAGAGGTGGAAAGAACAAGGGATTTAGAGTAGGGGGCGGGAAGACCTGGCTCCTCCCCCGCGGGGGGCCGAGAGGACCCCCGGGGCAGGGATCCGAGCACTGTGTCCTTTCTCAGGGTCACGCCTGTGGAGGTGCGGGCGGGAGCAGGGAGGAGTGTGGAGGATGCAGGACCCCCAGGCTGGGAGGAGGGGAGAGTGAGGGCGTGCGGAATCAGGGTGTAGGCCTGGGGCTGCAAACTCTGCTATAGTCAAAAGGCTAAGATTTATATTTGGCAGAAATTAAGTTAAAAGATGCTTTTCAGATACTACCAAATGTATTATCCTCTCTTTGGAGAGGAGAAAATAAGACTCTTGCATTGGCCGGGAATCGAACCCGGGCCTCCCGCGTGGCAGGCGAGAATTCTACCACTGAACCACCAATGCGTGACTACTGGAGTCTGCCAGGAAACTATCTGAGGTCGTAAGAGGTTGAGGCGGACCCGGACAGGCAACTGTGTAGGCCAGGGAACTGGTCCCGAATAGTTGACGTGGGTGGAGCGCCAGGTCATCCTTCCTCTCGTCCGGATCCGGCCACCGGGCCATAAAGCCGCCCCATATGGCCAGGGGCGGCCCCACACCCGGGTGCGAACAGCCTGGGGCCCCCAGCCTCGCGTGCAGGTGAGAAAAATTCAGCCCGAGCCCAGGTTCCCAAGGAGGGGGGCAGCGGGGGCTGTTGGGGCCACACATTTGCGTTCCCATTTGGCTGAGGGACGGAGAGGGGGGATGTGCTGGGGGCCCTGATCGCAAATGGGAGCTCCCTCCTCAAGGTCTGTGCCTCTCTAGGCTCTGGCTACAGCAAGAAAGGCTCCGTTACAAAACCAAGGTGCGGAGGGCCGTTGGGAGGGCTTGGAGGAATCCCCACTGGTCTCTGACTTCACAGCTATCTTCCGTCTCGGTCTGCAACCCTGTCTTTCCGTGTCTTTATCCCTGGCAACCTGGCTGTCCCGTTCAGTTTCTGATTTATCTTCTCAGGCACTTTGTCCCGAAGCCCCCGAGTGGTCAGGCATCGTTCTGCGGAGGGTCATGTTCTTGGTTTGAGGTGGGTGTTGATCCCTTTTCTGTATCCCTTGCTTTCCCCTTAGTAAAACTGCCTGCTCCCTGCTACCCTACAGTCACCAGGGGCCTCCAGAAGCAAGCAATGCGGGCACACTTGCGTGAGGTGTCCCATCAGCCACACTCCTGAATCTCCTATGACTAGTTTTGAATCAAATACTTGTGCTGTAAGTGGAAAGACCTCTCCACTCCTACCTATGTTTCAAAGACTTGCTCCCTCTGCCTTGAGGTTCCTCCTCAGTCCAGCCATCCTCAAGGAGACCTTTTCCCGGAGCACCTATTTCACTGGGCTTCTGTAACAGCTACTTAGTGTCACGTGGTCTTTTCCATTAGCTACTGCAGGGATAAGCTGGGTCTCTCCTGCGTATCTCACTATGACTCGCCCGAGCCTAGACCAGTGCCCTGTCCGCACAGTGGGCGCGCAGATGTTCGGGGACTTGAATGTAACTGGCTTAGACAGAACAGAGCGCCTCTCCAACCTCCTGGCAGAGCTTTGGTTGAGTCGGACGGATTCACCCAGCACACTCGGGTTGCTCCCTGTCTCGACTAGGAAGCGAACTCGGAGATGATGTATAAAATTCAGCCTGGGGGCTGAGAGGTGCTAACTTCTGTTTCAGGGTTAGTGAGGGTACAGTAAGTCTCCGACAAAGCTGCAATTCTGGAGGAACTCTGAATTTCATCCCCAAGCGAGCTCTGCCCCTAATAACCTCCTGCCTTCAGCTGGGTTCCGCCTCCTTATACAGCCTTATGGTCCGTAAACCAGCCAGTGCCCCCATTCACCCCTCACTTCCCACACTCCCAGGCCAGTTTCTCTACTTCCCCTCCCCCCTTCACTCCTCCTCTTTCCGGGAGCCTCGTGCCGGGTCCTAGAGGGGCAGAATCCGGGTGCCGAAGGGGGCGGGGTCGGGTCCTATCCCTCCTACCCTGGGGCCGCGGAATATAAGGCTCCAGGCGAGCAGGGACCCGGTCCACACCAGGGTCCGGAGGAGCAATGGTCACCCGGGATCGAGCTGAGAATAGGGACGGCCCCAAGGTGAGAGGCGGGAGGGGAGGGAGCAGAGGTCCCTGGTTTGGCCAGGGGACTGGGCCCCTGACGCCGTCGGTCTGGAGAGAGACTGGGGACGCAGGGGTGGAAGGGGAGCCGTGCTCCAGGACTCCAGGAGCCAGGAGCTGGAGAGGAAGCTGCAAAATATGAAGAAGGGGACAGGGGTCAGAGCCAGACCTGAGTGGGCGGCGGAAACATAGGACTAGGGGTCTCGGTAATGGGGGTCGGCACCTTGTGGCCTGGGGAGGGAGCCGGTGTCGGAGTAAAATAAGCAAGTAGAGGGCAGAGCCAAGGGAGGAGGGTGGGAACGAAAAGAGAAGAGGATAGTCTCTTGCTCTACGCTGGCTGTGAGGCGGGCGGGGTTGGCCCAAGACGGTCTTGTAGAGAAGGCCCCGGGGCGTTGGTTCCAGAGGCCCCACACTGGTGGAAGATTTTAGGAGAACCAGTGGAGAAGGTGACGGCCTGGAGGGTTTTGAGGGAGAAGAGGCGGCGCGGTCGCGCTAGGTATCTCCCTTTCTATACTCAGGGCCGCCAGCTCTGAGCCTGGCACCGTGCGGCGCACGTGCCTGCGCGCAGAGGGTTCCCAAAGTTCTCCACTGAGACAGAGAGAAACTGCACGAGACGGAGACGTAGAGAGAAAAGAGGAGGAGAGACACAGAGAGGGGAGGAGGGAGGACGAGACTGAGAGAGGAGAATGCGAAGATCCGGGGAGGCGAGCTACAGAAACTGATCTAGGGGCATTGGGAGGGGGAGCGGAGAGGGATCGAATGGGGTCGACCCTAGGCAATCTGGGGTCTTGGGGCCGGGGTGGAAGCCGGGCTTTCCCAGCGGCGGGATCCGACGCCGGCGCGGCCGCGCTGAGTCTCGGTCCGGTCGGCCCGCTCTCCTTTTCCCGCTGGTCGCAGATGCTGAAGCCGCTTGTGGAGAAGCGGCGCCGGGACCGCATCAACCGCAGCCTGGAAGAGCTGAGGCTGCTGCTGCTGGAGCGGACCCGGGACCAGGTCAGTCCCTCCGCTAGCCCCGGGTCCCCAAGCTTCCCGTTTCCGCGTCCCAGGGCTTCCCACTGGGGTGGGGACACATGCTTGGTTTGCAACCCTGGCTCCAAGGCATCCTCACTCGAGTCCCGCCTTTGGAATTCCATCCCAGACCCCCACTCGCTCTCAGAACGCGATCTTCTTCGCCACCCCTCGGGTCTGTAAGTTTCACGCCTGGTTCTGTAAATTTCGCTCCCGGGTTCGGTCCGTTTCACCCTTTGGGTCTCTTAACTGTCCGCTTCCCCCTCCCCCATAACCAGCTTCTGAGCAGCCAGCTTCTGTTCTGTCGGGTGGTTAATTTCATTCCCTGGGTTGCGGTTTCAAATCTCCTCCTCACGCGTTGGGCATTGGTTCCATCCCCTCGGATTGGACAGTTTCGTCTCGGGGTGGGCCAGGACCTCCCTTGGTCATCTCCACGCCGCATTTGGTCGCGCGTTCTGTGGGCAGTGCGCAAATGCGATCGGGGGTACCCCCAGCTCCCGCATCCGCCCCTCCCTTCTTCCCCCTGCCACTTTCCCCCTTTCTCCCCACCCCTTTCTGTCTCTGCGCCCTCCCCTCCCGTCTGTAGAACCTCCGGAACCCGAAGCTGGAGAAAGCGGAGATACTGGAGTTCGCCGTGGGCTACTTGAGGGAGCGAAGCCGGGTGGAGCCCCCGGGTACAGCGCGGGGGTGGGGCAGCGGAGGGAGGGAGGGGGGACGCCAGGAGGCTCCGGCCGGGGCAGAGCGGGCGGGCCCTGCGGTGGATGGTGGGCTTGGGGAGTGGCCGGTTCTGCTCCGAGGCGAGGTTAATAACACCCGCGCGTGTCTGTCTCTGTGTCTCCCTCATTTTCTCCCTCTCTCCGTCCATCTGGCTTCCTGTCTCTGTGCGCCTGTCCGGCCTTGGTATCTCTGCGCCCCACCCCTTCCCTCACCCCTGCTGGGCCCCTGCCCTGCCCACCTGTGCTCCCGCCGGCCGCACCCACCGCCGCGGCTCCAGGGGTTCCCCGGTCCCCAGTCCAGGACGCCGAGGCGCTCGCCAGCTGCTACTTGTCCGGTTTCCGCGAGTGTCTGCTTCGCTTGGCGGCCTTCGCGCACGACGCCAGCCCGGCCGCCCGCGCCCAGCTCTTCTCCGCGCTGCACGGCTACCTGCGCCCCAAACCGCCCCGGCCCAAGCCGGTAGAGCCGAGGCCTCCAGCGCCGCGCCCATCCCTGGACCCCGCCGCACCGGCCCTTGGCCCCGCGCTGCACCAGCGCCCCCCAGTGCACCAGGGCCCCCCTAGCCCGCGCTGCGCATGGTCCCCATCCCTCTGCTCCCCGCGCGCCGGGGATTCTGGCGCGCCGGCGCCCCTCACCGGACTGCTGCCGCCGCCACCGCCGCCTCACAGACAAGACGGGGCGCCCAAGGCCCCGCCGCCCCCGCCGCCCGCTTTCTGGAGACCTTGGCCCTGAGCCTTGGGGGGGGGTGGGGGCGGGGTCTAGGGGTGGGGTAGAGACTCCAGCCCGAGGGCAGCAGAGGGACCCGGGCGTCCGGGCGAGCAGGTGTTGGGGAGGGCGGCGGGGCGCGCGGGCTCAGCGCGCGGGTGAGATGTGGTCTATATTAGAGTATCTATATAAATATATATTTCCCTGGTTCCTGTCCCTTTTCCCTGCCCCAACTTCTTCCTTGCGTCTAGGATTGTACTCTCTCTGCCCCCCAGCCCAGTCCCAGTCCCTTCCCGAGTCCCTAGTGCATGGAATAAAGTGGTTATTAAATCCCCGTGTGTCCCCGAGCCAGGGGCCTGCCTTTATCTCGACGTCCACGCCCATTTTCCCTTCCCTTCTGTCTCCCACCCTCAGTCCTGCTCTCCATGGCCCAAGCCCCGGGGCAGACAGGTAAGTAAAGAAGAGAGCAGGGCGGGAACTGAGATCGAAATAGAAACCAGGTGGAAAAAGAGAGCGATAGGGTAGGGGGTGAAAAAAACGGATAAAAGGAAAATTTGAAATAAAATCGACTCTGGTGGGATTCGAACCCACAACCTTTGAATTGCTCTAATTCGTCACTAGAAGTCCAATGCGCTATCCATTGCGCCACAGAGCCACCTGGCGGGCGGCGGCATCTTCTAGCTTACCGGTACTAGAGTGGGAAAGGGGCAGGGCTGGGGGAGTGGGGGGCGGACATACCAGGAGCGCGCGGTTTGGATCGCAGAGGCCAAGCCAGGTAGAGGGAGCGGGCGCAAAGCATGTTAGCCAGGTGAGAGCGAGGGTGCATATAGGTTGAAAAAACAGGGAGGGAGAACAACGGAAAATGGGTGAGCGAGCGAGTGCAGAGCTCCGGCTGCCCGATTGGGGGCTGCTTCCGGCTCAGGCGCTCCCCACTCCCAGATGTAGTCCCACCCAAATAAACTAGTTTTGTTGTAAATTTCTGTGTGTTTCTGTCTCTTCTTGTTTATCTGTTCTGCCATCTGCTGCTATGCGGTCCAGAGTCTCGATGGTTCCCCATTTCCAGTCTGAAAGATATGGAAAAGGAGATGGATCAGTTTGGCACTCTTAGTTTTGCCCCATTCCCTGCTTCTAGTCTCTTAGGAGGACAACGGGGACACCGGGCTTTCACGCAGGTAGCGTGGCCGAGCGGTCTAAGGCGCTGGATTTAGGCTCCAGTCTCTTCGGAGGCGTGGGTTCGAATCCCACCGCTGCCAGGCCGGAGTTTTTCTGGTGGATCAAGCACCTGACATAATTCCGTTAGGCTCTACCTATTTACATGCAAAGAGTAATTTTATTAATTCCCCTGTTAATAGTTTCACCATCATCTTCCGTGTTTGGTCGTCCAGACAGATCATACTCCTGCATTCATCCCTCAAGCTAAGACCTGATAGTAGCTGCTGAAGCAACGTTTCCTTTCTTCATAACATCTCTATTTTAACATGTTTTCAAATGTTAGCTCAGCTTCCAAGATATTTAAATAATTTGTTGTATGTTCTCCTAACACTGTGTTATAGGACCCAATCACCTGGCAGGAAAAGCACAAATAACTGGTAGTGTCCTAGTTTCCTTTTTTTTTTTTTTTTTCGGTCGGATTCTCTTGGGTCATAGGAGTATCTCCTGTGTGAAAATCAATTAACAGTATGCAACATGCTGATATTGAAGAAAAAAAAGTTAAGGTTCCACCGAGATTTGAACTCGGATCGCTGGATTCAGAGTCCAGAGTGCTAACCATTACACCATGGAACCACCCTGTTACTAGCTCTCAAGATTATGTACATTACTGGACATTCTATTTTGCGTGTCTTCCACACCCGTCACTGAAAGAAAACGAAAATAAAACAAAATCTGCTGTTGGATATGGTAGACACCGTTATCGAGCACTTGAAATATATGAATTCGGATGCATTGCCAGCTGCTAAATATCTTCTTTTGAAGGCTTTGTACAAACAAAAAGACTTAAAATTTCATTAATAATTTTAAAATGTTGATTATGTGTTAAAATAAGATTTTGATATATTAGGGTAAGTAAAATAGATCCGTCAAATTAATTTCGCTTGCTTCTTTTTATTCTTTGTAATGTAGCTACCAGAAAATTTAAATTCGATAATACAGCTCGCGTATGTCGTTTTCAAAGTATATTTATTACCCTCCACCGTCAGTTGCCGTATTTTGCGGAAACCAAGTTTCTGTTCCACTTAGTTTTAAAAACTAGTAACTATTTTTGTTACTATTTTAAGCGAAGTGCGGTACCTTAAAAGGTAAAACAATCCGCCCGAACAGGGACTTGAACCCTGGACCCTCAGATTAAAAGTCTGATGCTCTACCGACTGAGCTATCCGGGCTCTTAGCATAGCTCTTACTCTTTCTTTATAAGAGAATTCTCTATATGAAAATCCAGGTTTGTAGAACCGCAAGAGGATTGTGTGTACCTACGCAGAATATTTTGGCACAGATTCAGAGGCGGCGGGTGAAGCCCACCTGCTGCTGATTGAGCTTTCTCTGCCTCCCGTTCTTAGAGCCCCAGCCGAGGCTGGGACGCAGGGACTGGAGCATAGCGGAGGCTTGAACGGTGCGGCGCCGGAACTGGCCGCGCGGGGCCGCTGCGCACTATGGGCTTCTCCCTCCGAGAGGTTCTTCCCCAGTCCCACGTGGCCCAGATCCCGGACACTAGGGCTCCCGGGTCCTGCAGGCGCAGGGCGGTCCTGGAGCGGAAAGAATGCCACGCGGGGCCTTCAGACGCTGTTTGCCGGCGCTGTATTTCGCTTTCCTGACTGGCCCTACTCCAGAGCAGAGAATGAGGTCGGGCGTGCCAAAGGCTGGGGACAAAGAGGGCCAGGCGTGGGGGGATCGGTGTATGGGGTGACAGGGGAGCTGTTCCTGACCATTTGACGTGTGCTGGAATGCGTGTGCGACTCACCTGCGTGTGGCTGCAGTCACATGAGATTTATGACCACGTGCAGCTCTCCACTGTTTAGTGATTCACACGGATGATTCACACGTAGGAATGCAGGTGCCCTGTGCTCATCTCCGCCTGGGAATGGGGAGGAACAGATCTTGGGGGACATTGGGGACTGGGCGGACAAGCAGTCCAGGGCATCAGTCCGGGCCACTGACCAGGCAGAGGGCAGTGTCCCAATTATACAGGCGTCACCTCCTCCTTGTCTCCGTCTCAGCATCTGGTTCCTCCCTCCGCAGTGGAACCCAGGCTCCTGATACCCATCTGGGTGAGTCAGCCAGAGGGACCGGCTGTGTCAGAGGCAAGCAAACAAGTATTAGAGTGCAAGACTGTGGGCGGGGAGAGGGAGCCCGAGCCACCAGCAGGGAACTTCGGAGAGAGAGAGCCCAGGAACATCCCAGACAGAGCTGGGCCCTTCCTCAGCCCTACCCTGCCCCGCAGCCCCTAGCCCTCCACCCAGAAACCCAGCCCTGTCCGGCCTGCCGCTCTCCTCCTCCAGGCCGGCTGCTCCTGCGGCCAGCGTTGCCGGGAGCATCCCTTCCTCCTTCCCATCATGGCAGTGTACCGCCTGTGTGTGACCACTGGTCCCTACCTGAGGGCCGGCACACTGGACAACATCTCTGTCACACTGGTGGGCACGTGTGGTGAAAGCCCCAAGCAGCGGCTAGATCGAATGGGCAGGGACTTCGCCCCTGGATCGGTGAGTACAAAGGAGACAGGGAAGCGCCACCTCTGAGGGGCAGGGGCCGCAGGCGGGAGGAGCATTCCTCCTGGACTCTTGAGATCCTGCTGAAGTCAGGATACCGGCCCTGACCTCCTCACCTTCCCTACTGAGGTCTCTGTCTTTTCTGGAGATGAGGAACTCCATCCAGGCAGGACTGTGGAGAGGAAGGAGCGTTGGACAGGGAGTCGAGGGACTTCCCCTGGCTCCTAAACTCCTCCCATAATTGACAGTGGGCTTTGGGCAAGTCGTTTCCCCTCTCTGAGCCTGGGTTTCTTCTTATCTGGAGGGGATCTGCCTGCCTCTGCCAGCCCCAGGTGGCCTCCACAAGGGTTCCCAGCCGGCCTAGGAAGCTAGTGAAATGCAGTGCCCACTGTGCTCAGGCACTTTTTTCTTTTCTTTTCTTTTCGAGATGGAGTTTTGCTTTTGCTGCCCAGGCTGGAGTGCAGTGGCAGGATCTCAGCTCACTGCAACCTCCGCCTTCCGGGTTTAAGCGATTCTCCTGCCTCAGCCTCCCGAGTAGCTGGGATTACAGGCGCCTGCCACCAAGCCCGACTAATTTTTTGTGTTTTTAGTAGAGATGGAGTTTCATCCGGCAGGCTGGTCTCGAACTCCTGACCTCAGGTGATCCACCTGCCTCACCCTCCCAAAGTGTTGGGGTTACAGGTGTGAGCCACAGCGCCCGGCCAGGGGACCCTTTTTCTAATTCATACAAAAGCCCGGTGTGGGCTAGCAGCAGCTCAGGTTTGTATGCCCGAACAGGCTTAGTTGTAGATGCATCTTGCAAGGCGCAAGGACTGCCTTGGCAGTTCCCTGCCTCTCACCTGCTTGCTGTCTTGGTCCCCTCAGGTGCAGAAGTACAAGGTGCGCTGCTCGGCAGAGCTGGGTGAGCTCTTGCTGCTGCGTGTACACAAGGAGCGCTACGCTTTCTTCCGCAAGGACTCTTGGTACTGCAGTCGCATCTGTGTCACCCAACCGGATGGTACTGTATCCCACTTCCCCTGCTATCAGTGGATTGAAGGCTACTGCACCGTGGAGCTGAGGCCAGGAACAGGTGGGCCAGGGACGAGGACTACACTGTACTGCAGGTGTCCTTTGGGATTAGGAGTGGGGTCTCACAGAGCCCCAGAGTGTAGGGAACAAGATTGAGGTCAGAAACTCTGGGCTCCCAAGTAGATGTCTTCTGAAAAAAGGGAACCTCTCAAGCCCCGAAATGCGACGGTTTTCCAGATGGTATTGACTCTTCTGGAGACTGACATAGACACACCCACTCATATAGGCGTGCACCCTTCTCTCATACACATAGGAAGCACTTTGCTTTCCACAGCCTCGCTCTGCACTTCTCCAGAGTGAGTTCCTCCAGAACCCAGAGAGGAACTAATCCGCACATTGAGTCATTAGATTTTAACAGGTGGAGAAGCCCTGGCTGCTTAAAGATTTTAGCTGGAGGCCGGGCGCGGTGGCTCAAGCCTGTAATCCCAGCACGTTGGGAGGCCGAGACGGGCGGATCACGAGGTTAGGAGATCGAGACCATCCTGGCGAACACGGTGAAACCCCGTCTCTACTAAAAAATACAAAAAACTAGCCGGGCGAGGTGGCGGGCGCCTGTAGTCCCAGCTACTCGGGAGGCTGAGCCAGGAGAATGGCGTAAACCCGGGAGGCGGAGCTTGCAGTCAGCTGAGATCTGGCCATGCACTCCAGTCCGGGCGACAGAGCAAGACTTCGTCTCAAAAAAAAAAAAAAAAAAAGATTTTAGCTGGAGAGGCCCTGTTCCCTCCCCTACTACTAGCTTTTCCAGTGTGGATGAAGACCCTGAGAGGTGCTGCTAAGGTTCCTTGTTGAATTTCTGGATTCCATGGATGCTGGGCTTGAGCATCTTCAATTTCCAGAGCTGTCCGATCTGGAGAGGCAACAATAGGGCTGCTCTTGGTGTTGGGAGGAGGCTCAGGATGAAGGAGGGGTATTCTAGGTCAAAGTGAGGCAAGTCAATATTACCCCATGGTCCATAATAAGTTTTCCACAGACCTCACTATAAACTCTCATCTGTCACCACAGCACATCCATCCATAGCTACACAAAATATATTTGTTCATCAGTCATTTACCAAGTGCATCTCATACACATGGGCCAGGCACCATGCTAGAAGCTGGGAATACAGAAAAAAAAAAAAAATACGAGTTCTGCCCTCAAGGAGTTTATAGTCTGGAGGGGAGATACACATGCCAACAATTAGGAACGTTGTTATAATTTGGGGGTTAGGCT